AAGGCCAATAAAAAGATCACAGCAACAGAATGACAGTATGGAAGATGGTCAGGATGAGCAATAGCGACAAGACTGCATTTCAACGGGATCCTAGCCTCCCATACTTGCAGCTCAGAGAAAGTTTGGACAAGTATGACAAGTTAGAAGAGCCACTCCAGCAAAGGCTTCCTGTGTTTGTAATGAAGTAGAAAATGTTAATCCATTTTAGGATTTTAAGTGTGTGGTGAACAGTGGCGTGTCCCTGGGGGTGGGGTGGGGGTTACTCCTGTATAATGCACTATACGGGGATGCTCCGCCCGATAAATAACGCATCTTTCTCGTAATTCTGTTCTTTGTGGATCCATCGATTATCAGACTGAATTACACATCACAAGAACACAGGAGCAGTGCTTTCCTTTGCTTATGATTAACGTGCGTCAAGATCGTAACCCATTTTATCTACTACATCTTTGTCATTAGTTATGACTAAATCTCCATGTTTTGTTTTTCTTTACAGATACCAAACGAGTCCAATATCCTAAGGGATGGTTGTCTGATTGACCTTTGTGGAGTGGTTCTGATGTGAACAACATCAAAAGGCATGAAGGAAATACCTGTGAGTGAGAATCACAACCCCATTTCTATTCATCCTTTCCTAGAACTACTATAGCCACCAGTTTGGAACACCTAGGGGTGGGGGGTGGTACACACCCATGAAGGAGTTGGAGAACAAAGGAAGGGGGGATTAAGGGGGTTGAAGAACAAAGGGTGGAGGATTAATAAGGGTTTAACATCTTGCGTGGTGGTTGGCTAATGCTCTCTTGCTTGGTCTATCAATCAAAAAACCTCTTTTTATGATTGGTGGAAAATGCATGGTCTATCAATCAAAAATGAATGTCCAACCCCTTTTTCATGATTGGTGAAAATGTGTATTGTAGACAGTTTAAGGTGTTCCCTTCATCTCGCATTRTTACATGTGTTTTGTAACGCTTGCTCAAATCATATCAAAAAATGGATTATAACGCACTTAAAGAAAGTTGGTGGAACACCCCGACTGAGGATGAAAGACTCAAGTACAACGAATTCCGAGCGTACATCAAGCTGCGTAATTATATAGAATCTCGAGGATGAGAGGAAGCATTATTGAACTGTACGTTTAGATACATCGTCAAGGCAGCGATAGGAAGATTGGATCAAGAAGAGCTTTGGCGCTTGAACGTTGCTTTCATGGACTGGAAGTTGGATAAATTAAGTGTTGCTGCAAGGGATGACTTTCGTGAAACTCGAGATACCGTTACGCTTGCAAAAGAGATTATCAACCATGATGTACTGAGTTATGAACTTGATTCATCGCAATTCTTTTTCGAAGAGATTAAACTGAACAAGTGATTAAAACCTCATTTTTTGATTTACATACTTGTAAAAAAAACATGATACTTGATATAGAAGAAGAAAATGTTTTGTATTTAAAAAATGTTGAATTTCGAAGTTTGTTTCAGTTATTTTGTTATTTATAGTGCAAAAAATAAAAATAAAAAAATTCTATAATAACTAAAACAGACAAATACACACAAACATTGGTTAAAAAGATGTTTATTAATACTTTTAAAAAATCACACTTGCGTTGAAGACCTGTAACGCAAAAAGAAAAGAAATAAAATCAACTTTTTAGTCGTTGAAAAGGGAAGAGAGTTGTGAGAGTATGGATCATAAAGTTAAGTGTGTAAGGCGCTTTTTGATCACAAAAATCGTTGCTACGTACCTATCTTTTTAAAAAAATCTTCCACCTTTTTGTTTATACACACGATTTTCGTTACCAATCCCACACTGTGGAAAAACATTACATTCTTTATTGATAATTTTTTCTTTTGAACAGTGATTGATC